TTGACATTTTTAAAATTATCGCTAGAAATTTATTTATTTATTTTAACGTTTTTAGACTATCTTTTATCGACTATTCTCATGATGATAAATTTTGATTCTCAAATAATTTTGTAGAATAAAATTTTCACTTTTTGGAAATGAAAAAGTTTGATCCCCTAAAACTCTTATATCTTAGAGTGTAAAAGAATTTGCGTTTGAGATAATTAATGACCATTTACAAAGAATTTCCCTTTTATTTATGTTATATATTACAGCTATGATAATGGGATATTGGAAATAGAAATAAATTTAAAAAAAAAATAAGTGAAATATCCCTCTCCAACTTTGAGTTGTAGAGAGGTTCAATATATATGTATTTTTTATTAACTAAAGTCCTTCGATGAAATATCTCTATGATCATACAATAAATTTCTTCTGCGTCAGAATGAAATTTCTTTGTATTGAATTTTCTTTGTAAAAATATTGAGGGATCCCAACTATTATGAAAATATTGTATGTCCTTAATCTTATAAAATCTTAATATCAACGACTTTAAAAAAAATTCCCCAATTATAGCATAATCAAAATTATAAATAAACTCCCAAAGTAAGAGAGAATGAGCTCTGAATTACATATTGTGGGATATCATCACCCCATGTGAGGGGTGATCCTCCATGTGTTGCAAGGTTGGCCATGTTAGGAAGCCAACACACATGAGCTGGCCATGTGAAGCCAACACACAAGATAGCTGGCCATATGCAAGGCCAGCCTCTCCATCTCCATTCTGATTGAGTATAAATGGAGGCTAAGGGGAGGGTTTGAGAGTGAGCAGAGCAAGCCACAGAGAGTGAGATATGTGAGGCGGAGAGACTGTCTCCCTCGGTGTGAGCGAGGGAGACGGGTGAGTGGGTGAGTGAGGAGAGTGTGAGCTCCTCCCCTATTGTAATCTTTCTGTAATATCTCCATTGTTATAGTGATAACCGGCTACTCTCCCGTGGACGTAAGCATTGAGGCCGAACCACGTTAAATATTGTGTCTCCTTGAGTGTGGGTGTGTTTTTCTGCATGGAATAATTTCTATAAGGTCTTGGGTGGGATCCCAGATCCCAACAAGTGGTATCAGAGCCTCGTTGGTGGCGTTTCGGAACAAAAACAGCGTGTTGTTTGAAACTGCCCAGAAATCAAGTTGCTCGAAATCAGGTTTTGAGCATACCAGGAGCAAGGGCTCGACGAGAGGAGTCCAGAAATATAATGCAAACACCCAACAGAGGCCGGACGCGCCCTCACGCGCCCCTGGAAGAAGGCGCGTGAGGCCCAGTCTCTGCACGCGCCCCCACGCGCCGTGAAGGCAGTCGGCGCGTCGTCCCAGTCGCAGGCACGCACCCCACGCACGGCGGAAGGAAGAAGGTAAGTGGGGGAAGGCGCGTGTAAGGCACGCGCGTACCACGTCAGCAGCGACGTGTCATCATCAACGCCACGTGGCAGCCCCGTCAGCAGAAGCGTCAGCAGCCAGGTCATCGACGCGTGGTAGCCATGTCATCGCCACGTCAGCACGGTTGTGCCATGTCATTTGCCACGTCAGCATCCAGGTAGGGATCCAGTGCTACGCGGCAATGGTGCAGCCGCATGAGGAAGGATCCAGTGCTTTGCGGCGAAGGTACATCCGCAGATCTAAGGCGTACAAAATGTTTTGGCTAGATCGAAGCCATTTGAGGTCCGTTTTTGGTGATCCAATAGTGGTTTTCAACTATTTGGAGTATTCCGGACACATCCGTACGGTCAGATTTTGAAGACGAAGTTTCTGTAAAAAGAAGGCAGATTAAAGTGGCAGACGGCGTCAGGGGCAGTGGACGGAATATTCTGTTAGTACACGGAATATTCCCTAAACTTCTGAAAATTGAAATTTGGCCCAGAAGTTTCAGAAAATTGTGGTGTGGCCCAGCTTTCGGGGATAGTTTTCAGTGAGGTCCCCGGAAATGCAACGAAGGTTGGTTCTAGCTAAACAGACCGCTCCGGACGCAACCGCGAGGTCAAAATAGTGAAATTCTGAACGGTTTGGAAAGATTATCAAAACATGGGTGTTTGCCATCTTCAATACTCGAAGGAAGGTTGCCGGATATTATGGAATGTTGCGGATTCACTGAAGAGGTTAGAATGGGCAGATTCTGACTAGATTGGACAACCAGATACAGATTGAGATAGATTATTGAAGACCAGAAGAGATCAGGCTTGATTAAATGGCAAATCGAGGGAGATCAAGATTGGTCAGGGGAGATCAGAAGATTGCAGAAATGATTATCTCCGGAGTTCGTAGGAGGATCTGGTTCAATCAAAAGAGAAGACCATTCATCGACGGATAGATGATTTGGCAACCAGTACAGGCTGAGGGAAATACTGTGGCTGTTGGAGCTACTGTATACGATAAGGTACTAATGGTATGTGGACATGTAGAACAATAGTTGTAGAGGAGCATCCTAAGCGCAGAAGCACAAATGCAGACGTGCAGCAGTGCAAGGGTACGGTAGAGTATCGTACAAAGGCGCAAGAGGAGTATGCAGCAACGGGTTGTTGAAAGTTCACAGGAACTTCCAGACAGAGAAATTGAGACAGGTAAACGCAAGAGTGCGCGTCAAGGAGTGGCAATTCTTTTTTCTCTATGGTGGTTTCTTGAGTTCCATGGCAGCAGATGATAGAGTTGATGCAGATCTCTCAAGCAAGCTTGACGCAGGGAGACCAGAAGCCATGGGTGCGAGCACTATGCACGGAGTTGCATAGTGGTAACTTGTACAGACCGGTGAAAAGTTGTCTTGGCAGAAGGGCTAACTGTCAAACATCAGTACGGACGTACAAGTAAGACAGAACCGAACATCAGGGATTGCAGCACAGACAACGGGCGTATGAGATCGCTGGGAAGTTGTTCTGAAGTGCATAAAGCAAAGGCTGGTTGTTCAGAAATAAGCTCCGAGCAAGGAAAATTGAGGATGTTGATGTGTCAAACTCTGAAGTTTTCTAGTTGCTCCCGTGTTCATCATGCAAGGAGTTGCACGGTAATGCAAGGGTATCCCGAGCAGGGGGTGCAGGACATCCAATCAGGGGGTGTCGGATATCTTGGTTGCGCAAGTTCAAGCACAGTGTCTCAGTGAAGGCATCCGAGACAGGAAGCGTGGAAGAGATCTGTAGGAGATAGGAGCAGCGGTTCTCTCCAAATCAGAGAGTGGTGTGAGTTGAGTTGAGGATATAGGATTCCCTCCTCCTCTTGTATCTCTAGTGTATAATCTCTAGCTTTCAAGGGATGCAGCGTCTCAGTGAGAAGATGCAAACTGTGTTTGGGCGTGACAAGATTAGCAGCAATGTGTGTTGTGGATCACCTCACATGGGGTGAGGGGGTGATTTGTGGGATATCATCACCCCATGTGAGGGGTGATCCTCCATGTGTTGCAAGGTTGGCCATGTTAGGAAGCCAACATACATGAGCTGGCCATGTAAAGCCAACACACAAGATAGCTGGCCATATGCAAGGCCAGCCTCTCCATCTCCATACTAATTGAGTATAAATGGAGGCTAAGAGGAGGGTTTGAGAGTGAGCAGAGCAAGCCACGGAGAGTGAGATATGTGAGGCGGAGAGACCGTCTCCCTCGGTGTGAGCGAGGGAGACGGGTGAGTGGGTGAGTGAGGAGAATGTGAGCTCCTCCCCTATTGTAATCTTTCTGTAATATCTCCATTGTTATAGTGATAACCGGCTACTCTCCCGTGGACGTAGGCATTGAGGCCGAACCACGTTAAATATTGTGTCTCCTTGAGTGTGGGTGTGTTTTTCTGCATGGAATAATTTCTATAAGGTCTTGGGAGGGATCCCAGATCCCAACACATATTACATAAAAGGGAAATAAAACTCACACTTTTGATATCTTAATAACATAATAATTCCAACTAAGCCTTCGTTTGGCAAGATGATCAGGATTAATTTAGTTTACTAAAAAATAAAATAGATAAAAAAGTTAATAAGATAAAATATCACATTCAAATCATAATTATTTCACTTTTTCTCTCACAAAATTATAAAAAATTAAAAATTTATTTCAAACGAAACTTTTTTAACCAAACTAAAAAAATAGCCAAAAAATAGACTAAAATAACTCCTCCCAAATGAATCCTAATTATATATTGTGTCTGGATATACGGCTTCCCTTAATAGATTCAATAGATTGACAATAACATGGCTAGAACCTGTGTCTCTCCTAGGAACTTTGTGCGTGTAATTTATCATATATCTGTTGAGTTTTTTCCCCCTGCTTTGACAATTTTATATTACAAGTCTAACAACCAACACAAAAAACTATATAGCCCAACAAATCACACAATACAACAAAGTGGTACTACATAATTATTAAGCCAGAGGCCCGTTTACTTTTAAAGTTTTCGAAACAGTTTTTAAATATCAATTTATATTTTCTTTAATAAGTGACACTGCTGGAAAATCGACTTTTAGCGGCGTTTAAGGTACTGAAAACGTCGTTAATTCTTTTTGTGATGTTTAGTACCAAACGCCGAAGACGCGGCCGTCGCTACAGCTTTATGACGTTTGGAAAACGTCGGTATATTAGTATAGGCGGCGTTTTTAAAAACGCCACCAAATGTCCTACCCTAACTGTGCTGTGACGTCACTATGACATTTAGCGACGTGTTGAAAACGCCGTCAAAGACATTTATACATTTTAAAAATCTAACCGTTGGGATAGGGATATAATGACATTCAAAAAACGCCGCCATAGCCTTTATTTTTATTATTTTTTTTATTTTTTAAGTTGTGCTAATTTTATATGGTTGAAAAAAATACCTGTCATAAACAATTATTAAGAACTAATAATTGATGTTTATTAAAATAATAAATAAACTAATTTTGAAAACAAAATTAAAAATAAAAAACAATGCAATAAGATGCGATACATGTACAATTACATAATATATCTAGACAAAATATATTAGAAAACTTTATATTTTCAATGAGGTTGTTGTGGCTGATTCAAGCTGTAGTTGCACTGCTTGGTTGTTCCCTTAGCTTCCTCTTTGGATGACACTGCAGCGAGGAGATCTATTCCACCCGAATCCACCTCACTGAACATGAGGTTAGCAACAGCCCTGTCAATGGAATTCGTATCTGATTCCATAGTTTTCATGTCCTCCAACCTGAGAGAATAGAATTAGCCTTGTGAATATCTGTCGTTGCAACAAGAACACCAACACCATTGTTCTCATGACAAAATGAAACTTCGTCATTTGACAAGTATAAAAATGCAAAACATTACACGCACAGAAAGTTTGTGTGCACAAAATGCAGCGATTTGTACATTTCGTGAGACATTGGTGGATACTGTGTGCGTAAACTTTTATGCACATATCATTGCTGATGCAATTGTATTTAACATGAAGGAAAATAATAAATGATGCAGTAGAAAATTTTAAGAGAAGTAAAGATGACCACATGAGCTTCAGGAAGAGGAGAATAAAACAGGTTATCCTGATTGCCAAATTATGACTATTTTCATAGATCAAGGCATTTAAGCTATTAGTAAATGAAATTGTAGCTGAGTTTCAGAGTACATTGAATAAGAAACTCCAAAACATTAGATACCCTTGTTTTTAGCTAGAAAAGCAAACTTGTTTTAGATAAGCTCTGGGCATAGATCAAATGCATTTACCCTTACTGAGAAAACTCAAAACAATTGAGTTCTGTAAGGAAATTTCCTATAGTGTTGAACTATAATCTTGTTAACTATCCTGGATGGTGACAATACAATGAGAACTTCACCAGTTTTTGTCTTTTATCAATCCTACATGTACTTCCAACAGATCTTGATGGTGATTTGAAATAATGACAGAACTAAGGAGCAAAAATACTAAAATGATAGGGGTATCTTTATAAATCTTGGACGAGGGTAACATTCAGAGATATTTGTCTAGATTATTTAAACATGATACATAATTATATGATCTTTATTTCTTTTCTCCATCACAGATTCAGACAATATACCAAATACTTACCTAGACATAAGACGAGGGTCTTTGTGTCCTTAAACCCACAGAAGATGCCTTGAATGGCCAGTGAAAGAACAACTGCAGGAGCACCAATAGCTCTAAGTTTAAGAAATTGTTGTACTGGAATGTGCATGGGTGAAGCCTGTTAAGAAAATCAACTTTAGGAAATTTTGGTTCCCTGTAGCTACAAAATGATGCATATGAAAATTTGAATGGTGAGATTTATGAAACAAGCATAATGGGAAAAACAGAGCTCTCCCAGGAGTGCAGTAATAATATCAAAGTTTGAGTCTAAAATGTGATCAGTTAACATAAAGAGTTAGTTATGGATATATGTTCATTACTCATATAAACTAACATGTTCTACTCACTGTTGATATGCCCATCATGTTGAGAAACAGTCCAGATCCCAAATACATAGCTAAAGCTTCACATAAACCAATTCCAAGCGCTAAAAGTAAGGCAGTAGGGACTGAGGGTAGTGCCGTTCTTTCATCTGTTTCATCAAGGAGTTTACTGTTGTTAATTTCTGTCACAATCGTCATTTTACATCAAATTCTCAAAATGAACAAATGGAAGAAAAAAAAATTCTTATTTTTGTGTAATGTATTTCATGCTCAAGAGATTGAAGTCACCTATTCTAATTTTACCTGAAGTTGATCCCTTGCTTGCATTTTTGGAGATATCTTCAGCTACAAACGAAGTCGCAACACTAAGGAGAGGGATGTTGAATACCTTTGATATGATGTTAAAAATTGATATTGAAACACCTGCTGATGCCAACTCCAAGGGACCTTTCCAATACAAGTGCATTTAAGAGCTCATCAAGCAGTGAAGTGGCAGACGATAATGGAAAATAAACAGAAATATACATTGGTCAAGGGTGAAGTTTTGACAAACCAGACCATCAAAAAAATATCACAAGACAAACTGACTATTAAAATCCCAAACAAACAATTAGATCTTTCGCAAAGGAATCAATCCATAAACTCACCTAGAAGAATCTAAAACTAGGTCTTTACATAAATGATTGATTCTTTCCTCATTGAGAGTATCATCTTATAATTATATGAGATCAGTTAAATTATAAGATAAATGAAGAAAAAAAAACTAACTTATGGTATGGTACAAATAGAAGAATCATGGCCACCACCCTAAAACAAAAAACAGAAAAATAGAAAATTAAAAAAAAAAAAAATTGTTTCCAGGAAAGAAATGCATCAGAGAGAGAGAGTTTTCCTTTTATCAAGTTCAAATAAGATAAATCTATTTTGGCAAAGTCACCAAAAGTGTGTCAAATTTGATGTCTCTCGTTAGAAGAATCACACAAAATAAACATAACCCTCGGTAGACCTGGACAAGTCAAGTAGATTCTATGCAGTAGTCACTGAAGTGTATAAAATGCTTTCTCATATTGGATGTGCCTTCTGTGAACTGAGGTACTTAAACAGCCAGAACATGCCAAAATTTTATATGCTGATGAAGGTGAAGACCATAATTGTAACATGAATACTAGGATTAATCATAGATTTTCCAATTTATATACATGCATGGGACACTAATGTTGTGTTTGGATCATAGATTTGAATTGGAATTTGGAAAAGGAGAAGCAAAAAGGTAGGTGAAATGTAACTATATATTTTATTCACATTTCACCTATCTTTTCTTTTTTCCTTCCAAATCTTTATCCAAATCCACGATCCAAACATAGCCTAAGAAACAATAAAAAGCAGAACTTCCTCAATTATGTAACCCAACCTTTTCATTAATGGTAACATAGACAAATTGAAACAACAATATTCTTACACAAACCAACCAAATTAAGAAAGTAAATTTCCAGATGGAGAAACCAATATAGAATACCAACGCCTACTAACAGTATTATAGTCAGGGCAGATTGATATGCACCATATCGAATTTGTCTCAAGCACAAGTCCTCTTATAAATCTACAAACAAGATTATTAGCAGTTAAAACAAAGAAAAAGACTCTCCTGGTCCCCATAAAGTGGGAAAGAATACAGATGCAAAGAATAAAACAGAGAAGAGGGGAAAACTTACCCATTCTGCCAATATAAGCTGCCTCCATGAGTAGTCCCAAGGGCTCAATGGCTTGCCCAGCAATTACTGGTATAGAAAGCATTACAAGCTCAGTTTGGACACTTGGAGACCGTGATTGACTCGCTGAGGTCCCCGTATGCGCGCTAAGAAACAATTCAAAACTTTCAACAACCATACAAAGTACAAAAAAGAAACTAACTGCAAGAATCACAATTCACAAAATGCAAAGAGAAGTATCTGAAAGACCATGAAAGAATATTTCAATTATGTGAATTGGGTGATAAAAATATGCAAAAATGATTTAAAACAACAGGGAATTGATGGTGGAAGAATCATGAGTCTTACATGAATCCCTCAGTTGAGCCATTAATGAGTGTGGTGGAATCTAATATTTCCTCTACAGTAGAAGGAACCAATTCATAATCTAAAGCCTGTAAACCACTGACTAATCCACAATTCCGAACCACTTTGTTTGATCTCAATCCCTTTCTATAAATCGCAATGCAAACTAGACCAACAGAAATGGCATTTTGAATCTCAGCACACTTGGACCAAAAATCAAGGCAATGCAATCATGCCGAATTCCAAAAATCAATCATGCCGAATTCCATTAATCACAATGCAACAAGGCACAAAAAAGGTAGGTTTGATTATCAGGTAGCCATTTCACATTTGGTGGTATTTACCAATTGTTAGGTTTTATTTCTTGGCAATCCCGTTTGACAAAACTCCTTTCAGTTGTATTTGTTTTCGCATTTTTTATTTCAGTGAGGCTATGAGTTGTTAGATGCGAATCCAACCCGAATCAAGCATTTCAGAGAAGTTTGTGATGAAAAAGCGTTCAAGATTGCCACATCGCTGATTATGACGGGGATCGAGCTGCCCGGTCAGCTCGCGGGGGTCCAGGGGGCAGCGCCCCTTGGCGGTGGGTCGGGGCAGCGCCACGGCGGGTTGAGGCAGCGCCCCCGAAGCAAAATGCAAAATGCATTCAAAGTTGCCTGTCTGAGCATGTTTATTTTTTTTTCCAGTTTTTCCAATTTTGGCCTGTCGCTCGAGCGGGGAAGGGACGCTCGGCGAGGGATTGGAAGCTCTCAGCATCTCTGCAGTCGGCCTGTACAAATACTGGATGTGTGATTTTACGCTCGAGCGGATGCTCCTACGCATCGAGCGCATCTCAGTTTGTTCGCACGCAGTTTTTTGGTCAGTCCGCTCGAGCGGGCTGTGTGAGCTCGAGCGGAAGATCGCGGAAGATTCTATAAAATTCGCGTATTGGGTCAGATTTTTAGGATAACTGCTCCAGATCTTTCTTTTTGGTTTCTAGGGTTTATATTGGGGATACTTTGGGAGTTTTCTTTAGAGTTATTTTCTCAGTTGTGGAGTTCTGAAGAATTCGAGCCTGAAGCTTTGGGTGGAATCCGGGATGGCTCATCAGAAAGACAATTCCGTGGTGAAGATGGGGTTGGAAGAGGCACATAGAGGTTGGTTCAATTAGGCGTTGTGGATTCGCTAGGTAATTGAGAGTATACCTGTGTAATTCCTTTAATTCTTCTTAGTGGATTGTTCTTGTGGCTGTTGCCCGTGTTTTTTTTATCACAGTTGGAGGTGTCCAATTGTGGTTTTTTCCACGTTAAATCGCTGTGTCTCTTTGTCTTGATTGTTTGATTGGGATTGTTATATTCTACTTAAAATTGATACATAATCACAAATCAACATCTAGGGGTTTTCTAGATTTTTCACCAATTTTACTTTGAATTGAATAGATACTTCTACCCAAATTCCACCTTCCTTGTTAAGACCTCATTATCATTTAATTATGCAAAGTTTGAAAATTCCATATCTCCAGATAAGAGGAGGTTCCATTTGTTCAACAAATAACAGATCCAAATCAGCCTTAAACTTTATTAACTTGCGCCTCTGAAATGCATTAAGCCACTGCTAACATATCAAATCGCAAACAAAGGGACGGAAATGTAATCAAAACAACATTTAAACAATTGAGATATTTAAGCACAACAAAAAGTAAAGTTGCAATAGAAATGATGATATGACACACAATCTGACCTCACATCCAACCCTAGGAGGAGATTCAAGACTGTAAACCCTAGGAGAAGAATCAGCGGAATGAAGATTTTGAGAGAAAGAGAGAGAACTTCGACATCGAAATCGAGATTGTAGACAGTAGTGCTTACCTTAGTAGACGATGCAGATGGTGGTGGTGGTGGTGGAGCTTCGAAATCGAGAGAGAGAGAGAGAGAGAGAGAGAGAGAGAGAGAGAGAGAACTTCGAAATTGAAATCACCGAGCTGAAGAAGGTTGAATCGTATCTTCCAAATCGATATTGAAATCGATTCTGCTCTACGAAATCTATTTTGCTCTACGAAATCGAAATCACTCTGAGATTGGATCACCAAACTTCGATATCGAAATCACTATAAGGGTTTAGAGAGAGCGTGCGAGCAAGATTCATACACTGGTGTTTCTCAGATTTGAGTGAGTGAAAGTGAGAAGAAGGGTTTCTCAGATTAGAATGAGGGTTTGAAGAGGGAGAGAGAGAGAGCGCGTGAGAGTGGGATACATTCGAAGGCGTTTTCAAACGGGTTAAACGGTACCGTTTTATTAAATTAAAATGTGAGATACATACAAAGGCGTTTTTAAACAGGTTAAACGGTACCGTTTCATTAAATTAAATTGCGACGTTTATAAAACGCCGTTAAATATTAAAAAATGTGGCGTTTAAAAAAACGCCATTATACCACACATTTCCTGTAGTGTGATCTCATAAAAATACATAAGTTAAATACAAATTCACGTTAAAGTTTTTGAAACAATTTTTAAATATCAATTCATATTTTTTTTTAGTAACTGATCTCACAAAAATACATAAGTTAAACACAAATTCGCATAAGTTTGTAAAAACTTAACACTTACGCGAATTTATATTCAAATTATGCATTTTTGTGGGATTATTTATATAAATTTATAAAAAATTACAAAATTTTATGGTAGAATTACATACGGTGTTTATTGCATATTAATTTTTTTTTCAACTTTTTAATTTCACAAAGTCATGTCTATCCTTGCAATTTTTTTTGATCAACCAAAAAAAATTTTATTGATGAAAAAAAATACAAAGTATGAAGAAGTACATCAATAAAGAAGAGAGTGCAAAAAGTATCACAGTGAACCATCAAGATCCAAACTAGGTTAGCACCAAGATAAACACCAAATCATCTGCTAGCACAAGCTCCAAGCTCCAGGTTGGTGAGAAACCAACATACAGAGCAAAGCAAAACAGGAAACAAGAAACAAATGACAGACATCACCTCAGCTAATGACAAATGCAGTTACTAGCACTAGGAATTCCACCCAGCAAACAGCAGCAACAGCCTCTCAACCCAACAAACAACAACAGTATGTTTGCTTGGCTAACAACAGCAGCAGTATGTTATTGATTAACAACATCACCAGTATTTCAATAAACTAGACCTCATTACCAGAGCAACAAACAGTAGTAGCACGACCATCAAATACACATCTTAATTTGATTCAGGTTGGAAACAAAATCATGGATGCAATATGACTTTACCAAAGGCGTGACTCTTCAACGAAACTGCAATTCTAACCTTGATAAGCTTAATAATTTCCAAGAAGTTGGGCTGGGCACTGTTGAACACACAATCATTCATGAGCCTCCAAATTGACCAAACAACAAGAAGTGGGATGGCTTTCCAGATCTGTAATTCTTTCTTCCTTACTTTTGTGCCCAGCCACCAATCAAATAAATCCACAATAGAGCTTGGGCAAACCCAAAATAGACCCTACCAATCAATAATATTATATCAAATTCTCCGGCTAAAGGGACAAAGAAGCAAAACACGATTGATAGAATCAAATTCAACTTTGCAAAAGATACACTGAGTGACATCCGACCCTCTGAGAACATCAATATGATAAAGGAAAATAGATGTTTTTACTCTACCTTTCAAAACCAGCCATGAGAAGAATTGAACTTTTGGTGGTGAGATGTTATTCCAAATGAATTTGGGCATAGACAAATCCGGCGATCTGTTGGATTGCCACCAACAGAATAAATCCTTTGTTTTGAAGACATCCTGAGGTGAAGCTTTCCATCTCAATGCTATCCTCCACCCCATGCCTTAACGGTGGTCTATCACCCAGTACAACTTGCAAGTTATGGACTTCTTCATCTTCCCAAGCTAACAGGGGTCTCCTAAAATTGAGATTCCAGTTGGATGAACTAATTTTCCTAGCAATGAAATCTTTTAGAGATCCTTCCTTATCAGAAGAAAGGCTAAACAATCTAGGAAATTTAGACTGAAGGCAGTTAGTCCCTGCCCAAATATCATTCCAGGAAGATATGCTGGCCCGTTTACCAATAACTAATTCTAAGTTAGTTAGGAAGAAATTAAATAGAGTAGGATCTTTTGAAGCAAGGCCCACAATGTCCTTCCAAATCCATGAACAATTAGTAATAGAGCCTTGAGAATGGAACCGGCTACCTGATCTGGATCTATACTTGCTGCAAATTAATCTTCTCCATAGGGCTTGCTTTTCATTGCAGAACCTCCACCACCATTTAGCAAGTAAGCAAACATTAACTTGATCCAAACTTCTTACACCTAATCCTCCTTGCTTCTTTGTCATTGAAACATCCTTTCAATTTATCAGGTGAATCTTTCTCTTTACATCCGAGTCACCCCACAAGAAATAAGCTTGGATTTTATCCACCTCTTTCATTACACATTTTGGCATTTTGAACAAGGAAAGGTAGGAAATTGGGAGGCTAGATAAAGTGGATTTGGTGAGGGTAAGTCTACCAACAAATGATAAAAGTCTCTTCTTCCAACCTGAAAGTTTGCCCTTAAATTTGTCCAAATCTGGTTTCCAAGTGGCTTTCCTTCTGGGATTGGCACCAAGTGGAAGCCCAAGATACTTTAAAGGTAGCTTCTGATTGAGGCAATTCAATATTGATGACAAGTCATTGATTAAAATCTCAGAGACGCCAATACCACA